TTCTGTTTAAATGTTATTCTAAATTTGTGTGTTCTAAAACTTACCATTCTTGTATTGTGTGTATGTTTATTTTGAAAACACAACCTGCAAATTAAACTTTTTTTAAAAAAGGAGAAAGATAATGTGCCCATAACAATGGTTATTAAACCACACTTCTTTAAGTTTACTTTTGAATCTGGCCTAATTCTGTAGTTTCTAGAAGGAACGTAATGAACGTAAGCCACGTGTCAGGTCAGGACAGCGCTTCTCTGCGACAAGTAGAAGAATGTATTTATTTATTTAAATGTAACGTTTGTACTCATTTGCTCACCTAAGCAGAGCCGTATTGACTATGCACTTAACAGTTATTCTGAAGGATCCCCAAACTGCTGGTTCCTGATGCCTACTTTCAAATCCTTAAATTCTAGAAATTAGCAGTTCTCAATTACACATCATTAATAGCATATCTGTGTTGATGTCTTTTCCAGTGTCAACCTCATTTATGCCAGGTGGTGGCACACTAAGAGCTAAGAGGCAAAGGCTAACCTCATTCTCTCCCACCTACTAACCCCTACGCTCCTTCCATCTGGTCCTGTCCTAAACTGATGTCACCTCTGAAAGGTGAGGGCTTTTCCCGAGTTGTCTAAACCCAGGGTTGATCACGGAGGTAGAGAAGTCCACTTTTGTCAGCAATGACTGGTTCACAGATGGACAAAAGTCAGGCATAGAGGAGACATTTTGCCCACTCTGGAGTACAAACTAGTAAGACACAAATGTGAAAACTAGAGCCCCTATATTGGTACCACCAATTTCATGTTGTTTGTTTATGGATGGTGTCATCTCTGATTTTCAGAGCAACTTTCATTATTGGGTATAGACTCTCTATTTTAAGGATAGAGGAAGCGAAGCTCAAAGGATTCCAACAACGTCCTTAAGAGCAAGTGAGAAGTATGAGGTGAAACTAAAATTTGAAATTGTCCTGTTGAAAAGCTATTTTCACTGCATTACACCACACTTTTATACCATAATTATGGTTATGAGACTGTAGTTATCTACCTACCTATCTATTTGCTTGCTCATCCCACTATTAGGCTATCATGCGAATGTATACCAAACTATTGTCTGGGATTGAAAAACAGAATTTTCTGTCAAGTGTTAGTATTTCTATTTGACTAGGGCTTTTGGGATCACTTAGGAGCTCTGGAGTTCAATATTGTTCAATAAGATGTAGCAATAAAATATGCACTGGGGAAGAATGTCATTCAAGTGAAATAAGAATCCGTGGACTCTGGAAGTCATACATTTCACTGTGGACAAGAGGAGGCTGGAAGTTATTTTTCATTACTGCTCCGTATAGGTGATACATTTGTCCCATGTCCATTATAAAATGAAGTTTACACATGACTTAGGAAAAGTGATTTATTTATAATGTATCATAGGGTATAAAAAGTATCTTCCAATGCATTGTCATTTGGTCCTCAAAAGCTATAGGGTGGAGAGAAGTTGCTATAATACATATTTTTACAGATGAGAAAACACAGAAGTATGGGGTTTCTATGAATACATATCAACTTATTTCAGTGAAACATACTATATTGAATATTAAAGGGTTGTATTCATAGCAGTAGGATTGCTGGCTGATTCTGGGGTTAATCAGCTTGAGTTCAGACCTGGATGTATCATTTTTTATTGTGCAATCTTAGAAAAGCTACCAAAACTCTCTTCAGTTTCCTTATAGGTACAATGGAATAACAATAAAACAACCATAACAACAAGTATTATTATTATTCATAATAATAATAATTGCTAAGATGACTAAAGGAATACTTACATGAAAAACTCGCAGAATGGTGTTTAGCATACAACACTCAGTATTTTGGCTAGTTACCCAACCATGATCTTGAAATAATAAAAAAATGGTGGAAAATAAATAGAAAGACAGATATTTCTGGATATCTAACAATCCATCGGTTATTCTTTTTTAATATCTTGTGTCTGTATTGTTTTGATTTCCTTTATTTATTCCAGTTTCACTCAGTTTAGCAAATACACTGCTGTCAGAGGATTCCACTTATAGTTTTTCAGCCCAACTTTGCTAAGAGACATTAAAATGCTTTTTTGACTAAAACGTGAAGTCTTTTGGATGGCATTACCTGCACTCAGAGATCATGATGTAAACGCCAACCTGCTCTTCCAACTATATTGACTATTATTCCTTTTGTCTAATCCTATGCTCCAGCCATCTCAAATATTTACATGGCCTTGGGAGACTACTCTCTGCGCTAACTTCTCTAGGTGGAAATCTCTCCCTGCTCCACCACTGACAATGTTTCTCAATCTTCAAGACCTGCTTAGAAGAACAACTATTCATCAAGCATCTCTTGATCTCTCTGAGAATACATTTTACCCCCTTATCTATGCTACTGACTTCTTTATTATAAAACATTCTCAGTATTGTATTCTCTTGATAGTTGAATATATTTCATCTTCCATGCCAGATTAGCAGGAAGCAACTAATTAGCTTTTCAAGATGGAAAGCTTAGCAAATAATTTTGAGCTTCATTTTCGTTATTGAGCTCCGCTAAGAACCCTTCCTTCTATAAGGCTCCATAATTATGCTTCCCACTAGTTCGTCACCTTTTATTTTCATCCCCAAAGCACTTAGGAAGAATCCTGGTATATAGATTGTGCAGGCTCAAGAAAAACGCTGGCTCTATTGATATTAAACTTAACTCAGGAGAAAGCGAATAAAGAGCACAAATTTTACAATGTGATGTAATAAGGAAAATTTTATTTTAAATAATTTATATGCTATGTTTTTGACCACTTTTACATTTTGTGTCTAGATATGTGTCTATTAAGAAGAGGGCAAAAAAATTTTTTTTTCCAAAGAATGAACCAATGTAAAACGACATGCTTCAGAGTTTGGAGAGGTGATAGAAGTTGGGGATAAACAGGAACATGTTGGCTGCACAATTATGGACGCAAAGAAGTGGTTTAACTTTATGATCATACTAGTGCAGGAGTAAGAACCTTCTGGAAACCAGCCCTAGTAAGTTTGAAGTCTGAGGAATTAAAGGCATACTAAGAAGGCATTTACTTCTCTAATAACACATAAGAAAGTACAGAACCAGAGGCCATAATAAAAAAAAAAAAAGCTGAGATGTTACAAGTGCCTGACGTCAGTCACCTAGATTTGTTATTTCTATCACACTGTTGGGTTTATCTGAATAATAAAATTCAGCTAAGAAATCCGTAGTACAATTTAAACAAACTCATTAATAAAATTAATCAGGATAATTCTATATTAGCAAAGGGCTCTGATTTGTTGAACAAGATTATTTATAAAAACACATCTCTGGCTATTTTAATAATATATTTTATTCTGCTACTTAATTCCACCTTTAAGAGAGAAACAGGAATTATTAATTAAATGGATAAGAAACTGATAATTAATTCAAGTCTGATTTTAAAAATTATTTTATCTATTTGACAATTTTTTGGATGGACCCTCTGGGCCATGAGTATGATCCCAAAAATGAGCCAAAGGAAGAAGAATGCACAGGTAGGCATGATACAGAAACTAACTCGCTTCAGCGAACTTGGACAAAACTGAGACTCAAATCATATGCATTTCGCATTCAGAATATTTTCATGATTTTATTTATTTAACCTCCCTCCAGAGTTGGAATCTGACAGGATTCATTTTCATCATTGAAATGTACAAATTTCAAAAGAAGATAAAATGCAATTATTTATTTTACCACCAAAAGATAAATAATTTATCATTACTGTAATTAAGGAATAGGAATCAGTATCATATTTTGTTATTTATTAAGATAGGCTTAGGTTGAGGAAAATCCATTTGTGGAATTTTAAAAATGCTATCAAATTTGAGGAAAAGCCAAATTCCTAAATGAAAAATAGAGAAAAAGTTGATTCAATATTAAGTGAATATTTAAGAAATGTCAAAGACCTAACTTTATTAAATGCTAAGAATAATGGTTTATAGTCATTGAAATAATTTTGGTGAAAAAATAATGCAAAACAGAAAAGCCAGCATCTTCACAATGTGGACTGTTCTCCTTTAAAAGCCCAAAGACATTGATCTCCAATTAAGTTTACAGCCACATTTTAATTATCTAATCAAATGGAATTGAATTATGGTAAATCAAATATTACATATGTCTATCTTCCAATATGATGCATAAAAATGGCTTGTGTGTATAATCAGGTACACAAAAATCATAATTCCAAATCAACATGCCAACCTTGAATTAGGCAACTAAAATGCACTTGGACGGAAGTAAAAAGCTTAATTCAGGGTTTCATAGGTGTTGCACATAATCATGATATGCCTCCCAGATTTTGAAAGTGAATTCAAACATAGGGAAATGAAACAAAAACAGCTATTTTCAAATTAACTAACATGGTGTGTAATTACGCTATCAGAAAGCATCTTATGAGATTAATAAAGCACTCGTGCGAGTAATATTTGAATTCACTTTATCAAAAAATATAACTATTTATTAAAATAACTTATTTGAAACATCTTGAAAGTCTTGAAATGTCTCATGCCATATCTACATGTGTCTCTCCACTTGACTATAAACCAAAGTTTGATATGCAGGTGACAGGGTCTGATGTAGCCAGTAAACAGGAATTTTTAATGTGTTGGTAGATTTCAATACTGGCTTTTAAAGACCTTCCTTCAGGAAACCCCCAGGCAACACGGAGCCCCTACACACTCAAGATCCAGCATCTAGAGTTGAGGCAGAGACAACAGGAGGCTTCCAGGCCTCAGAGCCATCACTATCTTGCTTTCTGATTAGGCAATGCCCAATTATACGTTGAGTTATACATTCTCAGTATTACCACTGAAGAGGCCTATTCTTCATTTCAATATTTTTGTTTTCCTATGGAGCTGCTGTGTATTAAATATGTGTAAGCAATCTATCTTTATTATTACACTTAATGTAGTTGGATTTATTTTTTAAGTCCTTGATTTCTGGTGCAAATAGCCTTTCAGCAGTGAACCAGCAGGTCAGAAGCGTTCTGCTTCTTTAGGAAGAACTGGAAAGATGAAAGTCGTGTGGACAGCTGAAAGGACAGTGGATAGTAAGTGGTTCACATGTATATCATCCTTTCTGAGATTATTCATTCAAAGTGTACAGGGTCTTATGAAGATTTCTAAATAGAGACAGTAATATAAAACATGGCTAATCACTTTAAAAAGTCTCTGGATGCATCAACTTTGAAGTAAAAGGAGTGACAATAGGCATGATAATAAAAGAATTAGTCAAGTCAAACAAAAAAGGTTAAATTTCAACATAATGTATATAAAATATATAGCAAAACAACAGAAAATAATCTTTCTTTATAATGTTCGATATATTTTTTCTATTTACCAGTTTATCAAATTCTGTGGATTGACATTTTTTCAATACAGACGATTCAGAATTGCTATGATAATTAATTTTTCTACCAGAAAATTTTTTCTTTGCCATTCATTTGTTTCTGTAGCACATGTGAAGTTGGATTCCTAACAGGGATGTATGTGAATAGCTCATCTATTGGCTTTGTGGCGCTTGCTTGAGTTAGCAGGTTGGCATTGTGATAGACCAGATGGCTTTGTGTTTGTAGGACAAAATTCTGTAGAATTCAGCCATTTGGGAAATGCTGGTAAGCAGATTTACAGTAATCCGAGTTTAGAAATTATTTTCTGAGAATACACATTCCGTATTTTAAAAGTACCCAAGCACTAAATCAAACTTTATAGAGTATGTAATTCAACAGCAATTAATTATAATATTATTTTCCTTTATTTATATTAAACACACCATGATTAGTAAGCTTTCAGGAATCATATATGTGCCTGAGTGTAAGGACAACTCAGAATTGTGTTATTTGGGTCATAAAAGGGCTTGTGATTTTAAAGCATTTAAAAGAGACTTTCCTATTCTAAAAGGAGAATATATTCCATAAAGTTTTTTTTTTCTGTTATACTCACAGTTATGGTTTATTACAGTCTGTACCACATTAACTGATTGCCTTTGGGGATGGAAGTAGGACAGAGAAGAGCTCCCCTGGCACGCTTAAAGGAATTTAGTTACTGGCTTCACAAGCCCACATTTTAAAGATGATCTTAGCTTTCTGGATCTGCTACTGTTTGCTTCCAATTGTGGATTTTTAGTTCTGGGGGGAAAAAATAAAAACTCAATTTGTATGTTAGCTGGTTAATGGTCTCCTAAAGCATCCTTATAAAAAAAATGGAACATTGATTGATGATAAAATCATCTTGATTCCCTGCCCCCATGCATCTGACATCTTGTGACTGTCTGTTTTACAGGAATGGCAGGTTTTGCAGCAATCGTTGCATATGGATTATATAAATTGAAGAGCAGGGGCAATACTAAAGTGTCTATTCACCCGATCCACATGCACGTGGCAGCCCAAGGCTTTGTTGTGGGAACAATGACTCTGGGTATGTTCCTACAGGATATCTCAAATTTGTGGTTCCCCATTAATGGATTTCTTTGTAAATAAAACAAGATAGATACTTTTAGCTGACTTTGAAGCAGTTTGCAAATATCACTTATATTCATTTTCACATAAAAACTGAATTAATAAAAATAGTTCAAGCAGTGACATAGTTTTACTGTCTATGGTAAAATCTTACTAAGGTTTTAAAGAAAGAAAGAAAGGAGAGTACTGTCTTTCACTGAGTTTATAATTTTGTTGAAGAGTCTAGATATGTAAATAGGATTGGTAATAAGATCCAACATCTGGGAGAGACATGATTTCTGTTTTATTGAGTTTTTGAAGGTGGAAAAGATATTACATGCTTTTATGGGCTTTATAATTAATTGACTTTATCTGGTATTATACAGCAAGAGTAACTCCTTTTAAAGTTGCCAGATAAATATTGATATTTTAGCAGTCTGAGCTAGTCATTCTGGCCTTGAGATACTTGGGAAAGTGTGTAAAAAGAATTTTAGAAATTTGAATTGTTTAAGAAAGCAAGAGTGAGGGCCTTGGTCCTCTTGTAAGTATCATACACCAGCAAGGGTGCTACTTTTAGCTACTTTATGAACTGTTTTTAATTTTCTAATACTGAAAAAAATATTTAAATGCTTAACTAGCATTCTTTTTCTTTAGGTGTGGGCTATTCCATGTATCGAGAATTCTGGGCAAAACCTAAACCTTAGAAGAGGAGATGCTGTCTTGGTCTCGGTGGCGCTTGCTTTAGTTAGACATCTCATATTGAGGTTATATGTTTATGTTGAAAATACATTCTGTGGGTCAGACAATAACATGGTAATTTGAATACTGGCTCCCTTTCTTGCAGGCTGGATTTGCCTGGTGACCAAGCTACTGGTGACTAGTTCACCAGCTACGTCATTCAGATTAGCACAAAAACGTGGCACTTTTAAATGCGCTTGAGAGTGGTACAATGTCCACTTTCTTAAACTCTTCTGATAAAATTAGTTGTAAAGAGGACAGTATGCCAATCCTGAAAATGCTCCCAGTTGCTGCAGTATATCAGACACTTTTGATGTAATGTAGAAATCCTATTGACCCCAGGTAATTTAACTCTTTCTGACAGCCTTGTGGACGGAGTACTCCATAAAGTTTTAGAAATCAAATTTTGAAGAAGTATGTCTTAATACTAAAGGACATCCTGTAGCCTAAAGTGTGGAAAGAGTAGATATAAAGTGTGTACTTACGTAAGTCAGTTTTTATCACTCTAATAGACGAAAGCATTTCTCTTAACTCAAGTTAGGAAATTATTATACATTTTTATATATCTTTATATAAAAAGTTACAAGTAGCAAGCGTATGACACAAGGAAGTGGAAGAGTAACAGCAGTATTGGAGAATGCATGCTTTTTACAATGTGTCTAATAAAAATGACATTTTTCCAATTCAAATATCCAGTGCTGACATGCAGGGTATTTTCTCAAACTGTCAATCAATCATATTGCTAAGTGCTTAATCAAAAATCATTTCTACTGAAGGGTATGAACGGTAAAATACCTGATTTCAAAACTATCTCTGAAACTCGGTATCTTCCTTTGATTTTCTTTTAAAAAGAAAGGAAATGGGGGTATATAGGAAAGACGAAAAATGAGATTTTTCTTATTGCAATCCAGTAATTTTACTCGGTACTTTGGGCTGCATTTAATCTTAACACAACAACAGACGTTTATAGTCCATAAAACCTCTAGCTGGTGTTTCCATGGTCCACATTCTCACTTTTCACTGTAGCATGTTCAAAATCACTCAGGAACGCACTATTCTCAAGCAGTCTATATAATGAAAACAATGTACATGTAACACAAAGTTCATCCAAAATTGTGTTTTTTCACATATCACACAATGTACAATTATCTAACAAAGACATAAAACAACATAGAAACAAAGCGAAACTGACAGTAAAAATAAAGTTGGGATAGTCTTAAACAGGAACTAATTTCTTCAAGTTTCCAGTAAATCTCAAAATGTATTTAAAAACTAAGGAGCACTTGGTGGCCAGCAACCAAATTACGAAATGAACATATCATTGTGCAGCGGGTATGTCTTGCTGAAGGGATAACAAATGTCTGTAATTCTTAAGTTTGGATAAAGGCAGTGGAATGAATTTAGAAATATGTCCACTTTTCACAATTCACTATAGAATTTTCTTTTCACAGTCCCCATGTTTGTATAAATAGTTCTTGTCTGAAAATAAAACACAGTTAAAACATTTTCTCCCGATGAAATATGCACACAACTACACCAACTTATCAAAGTAGTATAGAGCATGGAAATGCATTCACCTAATTCAAGAATAATTGATAGGTTTGAAGAGTTTTGAAGAGATTAACCGTCAAGCAAATTTAATTGGAGACAAATTAGTCTAATAGAGATATAGACTCTAAGTGCTAAAAATAAAGCCATTATGGTACCCGATGACAAAATAGATGTACACATAGACAACTGCTATTTATGGAACATTTTACATTATCAAGCATTCAAATTTTATATTATAAAATTTGACATAACATGCTGTATTTAATTTTGATGAAATAAGCTGCATGTTCATGCAAAAATAAGAGGGCACAAACTGTACAAGTACCACAGAATGCTTAGTGTGTGAGTTTTGAGTAGAATGTTGCCAAATTCAATCAATACCATTATTACCAGTTTTATATACTGACTTCAGTTATATTGAGACAGCATTCAATTTTTTTAAATTATGAAAACCTTGGGTTTCTTCTGGTATTTCTTTTAAGACTTCACCAATTTTTGTATCTTTACCTTAAGATAGATAAAATTTAACTTATTAACTTAACATCCTTTTCAATAGCATTGTAGTACAATGCTTGATGGTAAGAATATTCACATTTATTTTAAAGATACGTATACTAAGAATATCCTTCCATCAGCATTGAATCCCGTATATTTCTAATTGTGAAATGCTATGAAACACATATCTCAAGAAAGAATGAATAAATAGCACATTCCCTAAAAAACTACAAGACAAGTTCAACAGAACAAAACAAAACAGAGTACGACAAAGTCGGAGAAGGAACCAAGGGCATTTGCTTACCTTGAATTTTCTTTTTAGACCCTAGTTGTGTTGTATTCAGATTCATGTTTGCTTAGAGACCCAATGAGGCAGAACCTGGAATGTTATGGCTATTTCATTCAACAAAGTAATATTTTCACAAAAAATAAATAAGCACACAAATATTTACTTAAAAGCATTCCTAAAAATTCATAAAACTGTGGAAGTAAAATTTTTTCCATCAGCATGCAAAAATATTAAATCAACTAAAAGTAGTTTAGGTTTTGAGACTATATACTGAATTGAGGAATTACGTACATTTACAAAATAAACTAAATGCTAGTAAGCATGCAAAACAAAACATAGGAAGATTGGATTTGGGAATTGGAAATAATATTTTTCTCAATTTAAATCTTCTTTCCTCAAGACTTTTACTAATTTTAGGCCTAATAATACAATATAGATAATATTGTCTCCATATTAAAAGAAAACTGTTTCTACTAATCCTCGCTACATTTAAATATCAATGTTTACTTGTTTTAGCATACCATGCTATCATATGCAATTTGTAATGTAAGTATTATGTGATATGTGGAAAAAAGTGTTTTAACTTTCACACCAAAAATATAATACATTATATTGCAAAATATGTTATTTTTACATTAAAATTATTCAACAAGATGGGTTAACCATCTTGGTAAGGCAATTATTTCCAAATATCATCTCGTATCTTAAAATCTATAAATATTGATTGGAGCAACATTTATGACCACATGGAAGCAAATTAGCCATAAAAATTAGAGCCATAATTTTTATAGAAATAAATATTATATCTGTATAGAAATAAATGAAATCTCTTTGGTCTGTGTGTGCTCACACACATACACGTATGTACACAGACGGGATTTAGGAAAAGTACGCAGAGCACGGAAAAAGGAAAAGAAGAGGCAAAAGTTGAAATCCTATGCTTTAAGTCATTAATAAAAAGAGAAACTGAAAAATGAAGACAAAATAGAACACAACATTCTGGAAGCATTTCAGTCTTCAGGTTATAGTTTTCATCAAAAAATCTAGAGATACTGACCGCTGGACGGCTTTATCGTGTCGGGACAGCCTGTGACTCGTGGTCGGCACCTCGTCAATCTCGTCGATGTCACAGGCATCTGCAGCATCTTGGGAGTAGTTGTGTTTCATGACGAGGATACTTCTTCTGTTCACAGGTGGGATGAGGGGTTTGACGGGCTGCGGGGACATCTCTGTCAAGACAGAAGCATCTCTTGTGCTGAGGTTGCTGCGGCTGCCTTTCGTACTGGACAGTTGTGATCCACAGTGATGGTCATGAATGCATTTGGAAGAGGACCTCCTCAGTTTATGGTAGTTTTCAAAGTCATCGGCCACATCTGCAAAGTCAGCTGTAGCTCCTGTCCCTCTGAGGGTGCATACCTCGTAATGAGGAGGTTCCAACACCTCCTGGAAAACTGTCTGGTCAAAGTCCGATTTCCTTTGGACATATTTTTTACGAGGCTGTTTGATCTGCACAATGACAGAAATGATAATAAGGATGATCACAATGCAGGAAGTCACGCCAATGACAGTCCCACTGGTGTTGGTCAGCTGGTCCAGCAGACTGGCTTTCCTCTTTTCTACACGTTGAGGAGAGTGAAAACAACAAACAGAACAAGAAACAACCCACCACGCGTTAATATGGTAGCCAGACGTACGTGGAGAACTTTACATGAAACAGGCTGAGCATAAAACTTTCACTGTCTTAAACATAAACAAGTCTTTAAAAAGAAACAAAATGTTTCACTTTTCACAAGAACCCTATCTTCCAGCCTTAGAAACGCTCTCCCGTTGCACAGCATCCCTACTTTAAATGTAAATATGTTTTGAAGAAGGTCTTATAAAACCTTTAGGATGTCATTTGCGAATCAATTGGTAATGGTAAAAACATTTCTCTTGGTATAAGAAACCTCACAAACTCTGCTAATGGGAACATGAATATACCTAAATTGTTTTGAACTTATTCCTGATGTGGATAACTGAAGTCTAAGTAACAGTATTCTGATACCAGAAGGTGATTACACTTTAAGACAGACACTTCCGGGATGTTGGCATGAGGGTTTCTGTGGGTCTTTCCCCATCATCGTAAAAGTTAAAAAAATAACATTTAAGGTTTCTGGAAATTGTCTTAAGGGAGGTACATTTATTCAAGAAACTCTACTGAATTTCTTTATGAACAGGGATGGTCTGTGGCCTTTGAGCTCCTCCACCCAATAGAAGCTATCCCAATAGAAGCTTCTATCCCAGTAGAAGGTCTACTCAGGGTGGTTTCAGGCAACACAAGCCTCCTCTCCCTACAGGCCCCCAGTCTGGAGCTACAGTACCTCCCCAGGAAGGGCGAGCCACCTGCATTTCTCAATGCCCTTTCCACCCCCAGGTCCATACTGCAGATGCTCGATTCCAGGCAGGAGTGGCTGGAATGTGGGGTCTCCCCTCCTCCTCCCAGGCCCCACTGGTAGGAAAGAAGGTCTACACCAGGCACAGCAGGTTGAGAACACAGGGCCCCGGTCACACTGGCTGCAGCTCACTCACAGCGTCGAGCTCCCTGAAGAGACAAGCAGAAGACCAGATGGCCCCTTTCTCCATCCTCACCGAGTGCCTTCTTCATAAAGCAGGGGTGTTCCTCTCAGAGAAGTGAGCCACTGTCCCTGCCCCACCCTACCATCCAGAGCAGTGGCGCAG